CATACGTAGTGAAAGCTAACATGTTAAGGTAAATTAATCCTCACCATGAACAAAACATTAAAAGGTTTTCCATCCAACTTTTAGAATTTTTTCCCCTCTTAAAATTAATACATTTCCCACTGCTTTTATTTATGCTGTTCAAATAAGACAGACTTGCAAACATCCAAACCTTCTTCTTAAAACACATTTCAAAAATATCCTCCTTTTCATTAATATATTAAAATAATTAAACTCCTTATTTAGAGATTATTTCTGATATAAATCATTTATGTATGTGCAACAATGACCGAGTCCATCAACATACAATGAGTAACAACTGGATGCTCAACTGTTGACACATGAATATTCAAAGTTTGACCCAAAACGACACAAAGAGACGTCATGGAATGTTGACAACCGAAAGACGAACCTCGATGTGGACGACGTGACAAACGAGGCACAAAATGATCCCCAAAAAACAAACGCATGAATGTTTCACAAAAATGTTAAAGATTCTGATTCACCTTCCAGTTGGTGCTCTGTTAGGTTCAGAGCGCCCCCTGTTGGATTTTAGTGTTGAATCCTCGTAACAACACCTGGCGTGGAATATTTAGAGGATTCAAGTTGTTTCATTTTCCAATGTTGATTAAAAAAAATCATTTAAAAACAAGTTGTCCAGCGTTAGCCTTCTCCCCTTTATGGAAGAGGATGAGGGCGAGTCAGAAAAACTGTCAGAATGGTGAGACAGAATTTGAGAATACAGACTTTTTTTTTCTTTAGTGGCCCTACTCATGTTCCGTACCTCCAATCAATCTGTTCTGAACTGTCAAACCTATAAGGGGATGATTCACAGTTACATCATCAAAGCTATCATGATTTTACAGCCGACTGTTTGTGAATTAAAACCTGCAGAGCTAAAATCACTCAGCAGCTTAGCGAGTTTAAAGTTTTCTGCTGTTTCCACCAACGACCTGATGAAGCAGCAACAGGCAAACCCACTTTTCAGTTTTACCTCGTTTCCTCCAACAGTTCAATCAGAGATGCTGCGTAACATAACTGAATGATTTTTGTGCTTAAATTGCCAGTGATACCCAAACTTTGAGCGTTCAAGTCTGACTGATGGAACCAGGTTAATAAATGTTTACAGAAGATCATATGTGGTTCCCTTCACGTCAGACGGTTCAGATATGAAACCAACAGAAACTCTGATAGGACCCCGGCTGCTTCAGATCTGATCTGCACTGATTTCTCAATGCGCTTTGGATCCGACAAACACTTTAAATAATACAGAGTGTAGTTTCTTCAATCAGGTGTGATTGTTCTCATGGGTGAGCCACACGTTCACTTATTAATCCAGGTCATGGATCTGCAACCGTCACAGTCGAGAGTCATTTTTATCCTCAGTACGGATAGAAATGCGAACTTAGAGCCTAGAACTTTTAAAACAAGACTGCTTCTCATTTTATTATTAATATCTACTGTAAAAAAGAAGTCATTTTTAAAGAGCCCATTTATAAAAATTGGCTAAATAAAATAAAATAAAATTCTATGGGATGTTGATGAGCATGGAAAATTATGATTTTAAAAAAGCACCAATTCCAACATAAGAAAACTAGCATTTTTTTTTTTTTTTTTTTTTTTTTTTTCAAATGCACCAAATTTTTTTAAAATTTTTTTTTTTTTTGGTTCCTTTTTTGGGTAATTTTAA